CTAGAACTGAACTAGAACGGAACTAGAACGGAACTAGAACTGAACTAGAACTGAACTAGACTGAACTAGAACTGAACTAGAACTGAACTAGAACTGAACTAGAACTGAACTAGAACTGACTAGAACTGAAACTAGAACTGAACTAGAACTGAACTAGAACTGAACTAGAACTGAACTAGAACTGAACTAGAACTGAACTAGAACTGAACTAGAACTGAACTAGAACTGAACTAGAACTGAACTAGAACTGAACTAGAACTGAACTAGAACTGAACTAGAACTGAACTAGAACTGAACTAGAACTGAACTAGAACTGAACTAGAACTGAACTAGAACTGAACTAGAACTGAACTAGAACTGAACTAGAACTGAACTAGAACTGAACTAGAACTGAACTAGAACTGAACTAGAACTGAACTAGAACTGAACTAGAACTGAACTAGAACTGAACTAGAACTGAACTAGAACTGAACTAGAACTGAACTAGAACTGAACTAGAACTGAACTAGAACTGAACTAGAACTGAACTAGAACTGAACTAGAACTGAACTAGAACTGAACTAGAACTGAACTAGAACTGAACTAGAACTGAACTAGAACTGAACTAGAACTGAACTAGAACTGAACTAGAACTGAACTAGAACTGAACTAGAACTGAACTAGAACTGAACTAAGACACTGAACTAGAACTGAACTAGAACTGAACTGACTGAACTATAACTGAACTAGAACTGAACTAGAACTGAACTAGAACTGAACTAGAACTGAACTAGAACTGAACTAGAACGGAACTAGAACTGAACTAGAACTGAACTAGAACGACTAGAACTGACTAGAACTGAACTACTGAACTAGAACTAGAACTGAATTAGAACTGAACTAGAACTGAGATATACTCAACTAGTTTGGATGAGGCAATTTAGTGATAGAAAAAAGGAAAGTTTTTGAATTAAATTTCAAAGTGTCTTTAAAAAGTAATTATTTTATCGAGAATAACGTTAATAGCATTTCAAGTGATACTTTACACAAATTGATTTTTTTCATTAAGTCCAATCAGAATTATTCTATCTATTGTATTCCTCACTTATACCACCTAATTAGTCATAATCTAGATAGATTATCCAGATTGTGGCTTTTTGACGTAAGTTTTTTTATAGGCCAAAATATTTTTTGTTGTTTTTTCATTTTCTGTTTATTAACAACAATTTATAAACACCTAATAAATTTTGTATTTATTTTAATTATTTATAACCCATTTTTTAAAGGTGATAAATGTTTATTTTTGTTTTTACTTTATTTTTTATTTCAAATTTATTTAAACAATTGCTGTCAAAACATTTTATTAAAAAACATACTGGCAACACATGTTTGTCGTAATTTTTTAAGATTTTTGTTGTCATAAAAACAAAATTTGTTAATGTTTTCAAAGAATTTTGTAAGAAAAAGTTTTTGGTTGCAAGTAAATTTTATTATATTTTTATAATTCAATTATAAACTATTTAGTTTAACTGAGGCTATCAAGGTCGCAAAACTAATTAGCCTATTCTTATCTTATCAGTAATGTTCTTATTTTGAAAAATTTCGGCGCTTTGATTTTTGTAACAAAAAAAAAAAAAAAAAAATTACAGATGACAAGATGTGAAGTCACAACAGCATCCTCTATTAGTGATTAAAACCCAACAAACCTTCTCATTCTCATTTTGTGACTGGAATTCGTCAAATTTATAATTGTTAAATAATGATTCGACAAATGCTCGATATAATAACTTCAAAAATGGGGAGTTTATTTTGCAATTTTATTAGAAATTATTTTAAATTTACTGAAAAAAAAATTTAATTCCATTAAGCACTTAGCATGCTTTATATACAATCACAGTGGCTCCAAAACCGTATATCTACATTCTAATTAATTCCCAAACATATCTAATAGTTTGTCTGTTATAAGTTTTTCACACCTTTAAAAATTCATTTCCACATCCATCTATATAAATTACACCTATACACATAATAGATCAACTGATGTTTTTGTTTTCTTGTTAAATATTATGCAATTAATGTTAAAAAATAATTTAATTTGGTTAAAAAGAATTATATTTCACGATAGGCTCTATTGTGATTACAATATTAATTATTTATCTGGAAATCGTTTTTCACAGCGATTAAAATGATTTATAACAATTTTTTCGGCTACAATTTGATAAAATTATATATTTTTGATTTTATTAAATTGCTATTGGTTTATATAATATACATATTCTTTATTTATGAAGCAGATAAACACATACAAATTGATGAGAGTGCAAATATGCAAAGTCCTAATTCTATAATATTGAGTAGGAGCAGTTCAAATGACGGAATGAACTCCAAGTATACTAGAACTGAACTGGAACAGAACTAGAACTTGAACTGAACTAGAACTGAACTGGAACTGAACTAGAACTGAACTAGAACTGAACTAGAACTGAACTAGAACTGAACTAGAACTGAACTAGAACTGAACTAGAACTGAACTAGAACTGAACTGAAACTGAACTAGAACTGAACTAGAACTGAACTGGAACAGAACTAGAACTGAACTAGAACTGAACTAGAACTGAACTAGAACTGAACTAGGACTGAACTAGGACCTGAACTAGAACTGAACTAGAACTGAACTAGAACTGAACTAGAATGAACTGAACTGAACTAGAACTGAACTGGAACTGAACTAGAACTAGAACTGAACTAGAACTGAACTAGAACTGAACTAGCACTGAACTAGAACTGAACTAGAACTGAACTAGAACTGAACTAGAACTGAACTAGAACTGAACTAGAACTGAACTAGAACTGAACTAGAACTGAACTAGAACTGAACTAGAGCTGAACTAGAACTGAACTAGAACTGAACTAGAACTGAACTAGAACTGAACTAGAACTGAACTAGAACTGAACTGAACTAGAACTGAACTAGACTGAACTAGAACTGAACTAGAACTGAACTAGAACTGAACTAGAACTGAACTAGAACTGAACTAGAACTGAACTAGAACTGAACTAGAACTGAACTAGAACTGAACTAGAACTGAACTAGAACTGAACTAGAACTGAACTAGAACTGAACTAGAACTGAACTAGAACTGAACTAGAACTGAACTAGAACTGAACTAGAACTGAACTAGAACTGACTAGAACTGAACTAGAACTAACTGAACTAGAACTGAACTAGAACTGAACTAGAACTGAACTAGAACTGAACTAGAACTGAACTAGAACTGAACTAGAACTGAACTAGAACTGAACTAGAACTGAACTAGAACTGAACTAGAACTGAACTAGAACTGAACTAGAACTGAACTAGAACTGAACTAGAACTGAACTAGAACTGAACTAGAACTGAACTAGAACTGAACTAGAACTGAACTAGAACTGAACTAGAAGTGAACTAGAACTGAACTAGAACTGAACTAGAACTGAACTAGAACTGAACTAGAACTGAACTAGAACTGAACTAGAACTGAACTAGAACTGAACTAGAACTGAACTAGAACTGAACTAGAACTGAACTAGAACTGAACTAGAACTGAACTAGAACTGAACTAGAACTGAACTAGAACTGAACTAGAACTGAACTAGAACTGAACTAGAACTGAACTAGAACTGAACTAGAACTGAACTAGAACTGAACTAGAACTGAACTAGAACTGAACTAGAACTGAACTAGAACTGAACTAGAACTGACTAGAACTGAACTAGAACTGAACTAGAACTGAACTAGAACTGAACTAGAACTGAACTAGAACTGAACTAGAACTGAACTAAACTGAACTAGAACTGAACTAGAACTGAACTAGAACTGAACTAGAACTGAACTAGAACTGAACTAGAACTGAACTAGAACTGAACTAGAACTGAACTAGAACTGAACTAGAACTGAACTAGAACTGAACTAGAACTGAACTAGAACTGAACTAGAACTGAACTAGAACTGAACTAGAACTGAACTAGAACTGAACTAGAACTGAACTAGAACTGAACTAGAACTGAACTAGAACTGAACTAGAACTGAACTAGAACTGAACTAGAACTGAACTAGAACTGAACTAGAACTGAACTAGAACTGAACTAGAACTGAACTAGAACTGAACTAGAACTGAACTAGAACTGAACTAGAACTGAACTAGAACTGAACTAGAACTGAACTAGAACTGAACTAAACTGAACTAGAACTGAACTAGAACTGGAACTAGAACTGAACTAGAACTGAACTAGAACTGAACTAGAACTGAACTAGAACTGAACTAGAACTGAACTAGAACTGAACTAGAGCTGAACTAGAACTGAACTAGAACTGAACAAGACTGAACAGAACTGAACTAGAACTAGAACTGAACTAGAACTGAACTAGAACTGAACTAGAACTGAACTAGAACTGAACTAGAACTGAACTAGAACTGAACTAGAACTGAACTAGAACTGAACTAGAACTGAACTAGAACTGAACTAGAACTGAACTAGAACTGAACTAGAACTGAACTAGAACTGAACTAGAACTGAACTAGAACTGAACTAGAACTGAACTAGAACTGAACTAAACTGAACTAGAACTGAACTAGAACTGAACTAGAACTGAACTAGAACTGAACTAGAACTGAACTAGAACTGAACTAGAACTGAAATAGACCCAAGTTAGAACTAAAACTATGCCTCAAAACCGTTGATATATATAATACTATTTTATAAAGAATAATTCGAAATATAAATATTTACGAAATAACAATATATACAATATAATTGAATTTTATATAAACAATATCCTTTAGAGTTATGTTACTCTTCATTATAAAAAGATGTATTTGTACAATAACATCCTTAAAATTGCTTAATGTCTTTTAAATCTATTTAAGAATATAAATCTTTTAAAATGGTGAAATCCATCAAAAATAAATGCAAGGAACCCCTTCAACAAATACATTTAAGACTTCTTATTTTCTTTTACCTTTCATTAAAATCATACTTACGAGGATATTTGGATGGTTCCTCTTCGTGTGTTTCAGGCTCATTTTCTCCTTCTGGATGGACATCAATGGGCATTGCACTTTTATCGTAACGCACGAACCACCAATATAGTGCCAAGAAAATGATTTGCACAACCATAAGGGACATGAAGCCCGTCTGTTTAGCAGCAGATGAATGCATTGTCACTGTTATTGTTGCTGACGTGGGAAGATGCTTTTAACGTCTTTAACAATTGAGATTTTTTTCTGGTTTATTTATTTTTTGAAAATGTATTTATTTATATTTATTAAAACACTATTTTCGTTTCGAGACAAGGAATGATTTTTTTTTGCACTTTATTTATTTGAAAAAGGATCTTAAGGAAACGAAAAGGACATGTTTTTCTTTGTATGCACTTGTATTTAAACTTTAAATGAACACTTTTAGTTAGAAGAACACGTTTTGGGAATTATTAACAGGATTTAAGTTTTGAGTGCACGGTTGCAAAACGTAAAAAGGAATTGATCCTGTAATGCAACATCATCAAATTCCTTATGCACGACACTATTTCTTTTTCGTTTAGAAACTATTTCTAGTTTCTATAACTTATTTTCACGTATTGGGGGTGTATATTTTTATTATGGCCGTCTTAAGTTTGAAATACGTCTGTTCTTAGCAGACGTTAAAAGCCTTTTAATTTTTTTACACATTCAATGTGAATTTATCGCAGCGTATGTGCGATTTATTTTTTTTAGCTGTTAATGTGAGTATGTGAAAATTTTCTTATTTCTATTTGAATGGATGAGCTTCTATTTGTTGTATCACATACAAAATTTTAAATTAAATCGTCACACTCGCTCTCTTAAAGTTTAAACGAGAAGACATTTAACAGCAAAAAAAAGTAGCAAAAAACATGCCAAAGTGGTCACTTCGTCATTTATACATTTTCAACACACTTTTCTGTTTATTATTTTCGTTGTTTTCAGCTTGATACGAAAAAGTGTTTTCGTCTATTTGACTACCGGTCTGTACGTCCATTAATTCATCCGTCATATACTCTATCCAGCCATTGGAAGTCTTTAGCGTGATGTGTGTTTTGTTTTAGTACAAACTGATTGTATTTGACATGATACCGAAGTACTCGTCATTCTATGAGGTGCGAGTATGAAAATATACTCTAGTCTAGATATGTAGCTGGTTGTATATCATTGTGTTTTTTGGTGCTGTTTTTATAACCTCCACTAGCTATACTAAATGTGGGCATGGTTAGTTGTTTATATAGTTTGTAATATATCAGAATGTTGCTGCAATTATGAATTGAAACAGATTAAATAAAAACTTAAATAAAACTAAAAAAAAACTAGAATTGAAGCAGAATCGAACTAGAACTGAGCTGAACTGAACTAGAACTGAACTAGAACTGGACTAGAACTGAACTAGAACTGAACTAGAACTGAACTAGAACTGAACTAGAACTGAACTAGAACTGAACTAGAACTGAACTAGAACTGAACTAGAACTATGAACTAGAACTGAACTAGAACTGAACTAGAACTGAACTAGAACTGAACTAGAACTGAACTAGAACTGAACTAGAACTGAACTAGAACTGAACTAGAACTGAAACTAGAACTGAACTAGAACTGAACTAGAACTGAACTAGAACTTAACTAGAACTGAAGCTAGGAAACTGAACTAGAAACTGAACTAGAATGAACTAGAACTGAACTAGAACTGAACTAGAACTGAACTGAACTAGAACTGAACTAGAACTGAACTAGAACTGAACTAGAACTGAACTAGAACTGAACTAGAACTGAACTAGAACTGAACTAGAACTGAACTAGAACTGAACTAGAACTGACTAGAACTGAACTAGAACTGAACTAGAACTGAACTAGAACTGAACTAGAACTGAACTAGAACTGAACTAGAACTGAACTAGAACTGAACTAGAACTGATCTAGAACTGAACTAGAACTGAACTAGAACTGAACTAGAACTGAACTAGAACTGAACTAGAACTGAACTAGAACTGAACTTGAACTGACTAGAACTGAACTAGAACTGAACTAGAACTGAACTAGAACTGAACTAGAACTGAACTAGAACTGAACTAGAACTGAACTAGAACTGAACTAGAACTGAACTAGAACTGAACAGAACTGAACTAGAACTGAACTAGAACTGAACTAGAACTGAACTAGAACTGAACTAGAACTGAACTAGAACTGAACTAGAACTGAACTAGAACTGAACTAGAACTGAACTAGAACTGAACTAGAACTGAACTAGAACTGAACTAGAACTGAACTAGAACTGAACTAGAACTAGAACTAGAACTGAACTAGAACTGAACTAGAACTGAACTAGAACTGAACTAGAACTGAACTAGAACTGAACTAGAACTGAACGAGAACTGAACTAGAACTGACTAGAACTGAACTAGAACTGAACTAGAACTGAACTAGAACTGAACTAGAACTGACTAGAACTGAACTAGAACTGAACTAGAACTGAACTAGAACTGAACTAGAACTGAACTAGAACTGAACTAGAACTAAACTAGAACTGAACTAGAACTGAACTAGAACTGAACTAGAACTGAACTAGAACTGAACTAGAACTGAACTAGAACTGAACTAGAACTGAACTAGAACTGAACTAGAACTGAACTAGAACTGAACTAGAACTGAACTAGAACTGAACTAGAACTGAACTAGAACTGAACTAGAACTGACTAGAACTGAGACTGAACTAGAACTAACTAAGAACTGAACTAGAACTGAACTAGAACTGAACTAGAACTGAACTAGAACTGAACTAGAACTGAACTAGAACTGAACTAGAACTGAACTAGAACTGAACTAGAACTGAACTAGAACTGAACTAGAACTGAAATAGAACTGAACTAGAACTGAACTAGAACTGAACTAGAACTGAACTAGAACTGAACTAGAACTGAACTAGAACTGAACTAGAACTGAACTAGAACTGAACTAGAACTGAACTAGAACTGAACTAGAACTGAACTAGAACTGAACTAGAACTGAACTAGAACTGAACTAGAACTGAACTAGAACTGAACTAGAACTAAACTAGAACTAAAAGAACTGAACTGAACTGAAATGAACTGAACTAGAACTGAACTAGAACTGAACTAGAACTGAACTAACTGAACTAGAACTGAACTAGAACTGAACTAGAACTGAACTAGAACTGAACTAGAACTGAACTAGAACTGAACTAGAACTGAACTAGAACTGAACTAGAACTGAACTAGAACTGAACTAGAACTGAACTAGAACTGAACTAGAACTGAACTAGAACTGAACTAGAACTGAACTAGAACTGAACTAGAACTGAACTAGAACTGAACTAGAACTGACTAGAACTGAACTAGAACTGAACTAGAACTGAACTAGAACTGAACTAGAACTGAACTAGAACTAAACTAGAACTAAACTAGAACTAAACTAGAACTGAACAGAACTGAACTAAAACTGAACTAGAACTAAACTAGAACTGAATTAGAATCGAACTGGAACAGAACTAGAACTGAACTAGAATCGAACTAAAACTGAACTAGAACTAATTTAGAACCGAACTAAAAGCGACCTAGGACTAATCTAAAACAGTACTAAGTAAGTAGATCTGATTTCATATCAACTGTAGAGTGTTTACTAAATTCTTTAAAACCTTTTAATTCCACATATTTTTCTAAAAATGCTTTTATTTGCGCTTCGCTTTAGTTTAGTTAAATTTATTTAGCAGATAATTTTATTTTAAATTTTAAAATTGCTGCTTGGTTTTAGTTTCGAGTTCATTTTATAAAATGTTTGTAGCTCTGCATAGCTGTGGCCAATTTGGCGTTAATATTAGTTTCTACCTCACATTTGTTCTACTGTTTTAATGCAATTTGTAAGTTTTTCATTAAAAGGGGTAGAAGAACAAAAAAATAAAATACTATATATAGGGTGCATTTATTTTCTTTAATTTAAATAATTTAATTTTATTTTAGTTTTAATATTTAATATCAATTGGTATTTTTCACTTGTATATGATAGTGAGAGAGAGTGAGAATATACTGTGAGAGAGAGCGGTTTGAAAAAGGTCAAGTTCGTAATGTACTTTTTAATGGTTCGAAAAAGATTAACAAGAATTAAGTGAACAATACAAGTTCCAAACTATTTTTCAATGTAAAAATATACACCTCTATATCAGTCACAGTTTAGTTTAATAGAGCTCATGACTACTATGTAGTAGTTTTATGGTAGCAAAATGTCTACATATCATTATTTGCGTTAATCTACTTGATGGCTTTAAAGATATTTTAGTTAATTAAACTCATCTAAATTCTGTATAACTATTCTACACTTACTTTACACTGCCACTCAGAAAAATCTTTTTGTAAGACTACAAAGTCCTCAAATGCCAAACTCTTCCCATATAAATTCTATTAAAAACTATTTCCAACTCTTCTTTGTCTCCACAGAAAAACTAAAAAAATAAAATTTTCCCATCATCATGTGAGTTTGTCTATTAACTCTTATGTTTATTATAACCGACATAATTTTAATTGTTATAAAATTATAAAAAAACATTAAGTTGAGATATAACATTTACATTGCAACTTTCAGCAAAAACTAATCCCATTAATCCGCAATATGAAAATAAACATTATTTTAAAATTAAAACTGCATACAGATTAAATAGAACAACTTTTAATTAAATTTTAAAATTGTGTTTTTCATCTTTTTGCTTTCAACAGAGTAAAACAGGCAAAAATTGTATTACAAAAAAAAAAAAAAAAAAAAAAAAATGCCGACAACTAAGTGCAATATGAAAAACAAACATTTTAATACAAGTATCTGAGATTTTGAATGATAAACTATCAATTACGATTAACAACAAGCTTAAATAAATTAAAAATTTAATAGTCTATAACTAAAGTACAAAAATAATGTTAAATAATAGTTAGCACTTTTCAATTGATGTTAAACACATATGAATGTGTTTTCTATAGCCAACTGGGCTTAATCGGACTGATTAATAATGTTTTAAATCAACAATTTATTTTCTGAATAACTACAGGGTATAGTTGCGAATGATACCCTATAATTGAGACTTTAGTTCTGGAACTTAACTATACTGAATTAGAATTGAACTAGAACTGAACGAACTAGAACAGAACAGAACTAGAACTGAAATAGAACTGAACTAGAACTGAACTAGAACTGAACTAGAACTGAACTAGAACTGAACTAGAACTGAACTAGAACTGAACTGAACTAGAACTGAACTAGAACTGAACTAGAACTGAACTAGAACTGAACTAGAACTGAACTAAAACTGAACTAGAACTGAACTAGAACTGAACTAAACACTGAACTAGAACTGAACTAGAACTGAACTAGAACTGAACTAGAACTGAACTAGAACTGAACTAGAACTGAACTATAACTGAACTATAACTGAACTAGAACTGAACTAGAACTGAACTAGAACTGAACTAGAACTGAACTAGAACTGAACTAGAACTGAACTAGAACTGAACTAGAACTGAACTAGAGCTGAACTAGACTGAACTAGAACTGAACTAGAACTGAACTAGAACTGAACTAGAACTGAACTAGAACTGAACTAGAACTGAACTAGAACTGAACTAGAACTGAACTAGAACTGAACTAGAACTGAACTAGAACTGAACTAGACTGAACTAGAACTGAACTAGAACT